TTTTTTATAATAAATTTAGAAGAAAAAAATAAACCTATAAAAAAAAATCATTAAAAATAATATCCGGGTTTAAAGTTATAAATATTTTAAAGGGTTTATAGTTTAACAGGGAAGGTTTTTCCTTAATGCTTAGAGGAAAAACTGTGTATCATGTGATCGCTTCTATGAAAACAATCTCAGATTGGTATGCGTGACGTTCGTTTCTATGCATTAACACTTACATTCAATTCGAAAATAATCCCCCCAAAAATAAATTTATAAAAATAAAAGTTAAATAATCACTTACGTTTCAAGGTTTATTACTATTTTATATTTATAATTACATAAATGAAACCACTGAAAATTAACAAAATAATTGTATTTTTAAAATGGTAAATTATCATAAAATTTTATTAAGTTATTCATGCTAAATGACGTGAATATAACGTGAATATTTTAATTTTATACTTATTTAGCTTAATATAAATACTTTATGATCATTATTTTTATACATAATCATTAAAATTATATAAGAATATATTTTTCCTTATAGATTTAAGGTTAAAATTTAGAAAGAATTTACTGTAAATAATTCTTTTAAATGTAAGTAATTTTATAAATAAATTATTAAGGTTTTTAATTATATAAAAAACTTATTTTTACATATAAAAATGTAAGAAATACTCACGAAATAAGGAAGTTATTTCTCTCTAACATTAAACATAAAAAAAAACACACACACAGCAATTTATAATTACAAAACTTTATAACCTAACTAACAATTTAATAAATTAATGTGTTTTTATTTAAACAAAATAATAAAATGAACCTCAAAGTATTAAAAATGATTATAATATATAATTTTTTTTGATACGAAGCGTAAAGAATTTGGAATATTAAAGAGTCAAAACACGTGCAAATGGCTTTGGGGAAACTTCTAAAATGACCGTCTGTTGAGAGTTCAATGACTTAAAAGATACTTTTTTTTGCATTTATGCAGATGACAAAGTGCTATTGCAACTACAGATGAAGGCTTCAGGGAGTAGAACTTTGACTTGACAGTCATTGGCCTGACTTTCTAAGTGTTTGCCTCCACGTTTTCTATGTTTTTCTGTTTGCTTTCCCGAATTATCTACACCTGTTCTTACATTCTCTTAACATAACATTTTCAAAATTGTTTAAATATTTAATCGGATATTTTTACTGTGTTTTTGGTATCTAGTATTATTTATTTTTATTTAAAATACTTAATTTTCTTTTATTATTTTTTTTTTTCATACGAGACTTTGGATGTTCTCAAGGGAATCGACGACGGATTTGCTTTAGGGTGTATTTATGCTTATCACTACATAAGATGGATAATTACAAGCGAATTAAATTGTTTTATCGTATTTTTTATTTATTTTTTAATTCGTAAAGACAATTTAATTTAAAATTTAAAAAAATATATTCTAATATTTCAAGTGTTTCGGTTACGTCATATGTGAGTAAAAATTGCATCTCGAAAGCTTAAAAAAAGTGGTAAAAATGTATAAAAAAATTGAAAATTATTATTAAATTTTGTAATTAATTATTACTTAATTAATTAATAAAGATATTTTTACATTTTTTATTTTAAGCTTTTTACTGTCTTCGCTCACATCTGACGTATGAGAAGTGTCTTAAAAAAAAAAGTCAAAAAATTTAATAACAAAATGGCATTTTAAGCCAGAAATTTTAATTAAAAAATTAAGATTATTATCTAAAAATTACATAAAATAATAACTTTCGAACAAAATAACCTTCGAATTAAAAAAAAAAACTGGCAACCGATGTTAAAAACAACGTTATTACCTGTAATTATTTACATACAAGTTAATAATTAATCAATAAACAGACCATAGTGTGCCATACAAATCAAGTTATAATTATATGGGCAGAAAATATTTTGGCAGTATATCAAGAAAGCCTTGAACTTTTAAGCTTACCCTTTAGGCTACTCGTGTTATTGATATAGAAAACAAGGCAAAGTGCATCACACTAATATAGAATAATATTAATTATGAGTGATATAAAGAAGAGGAAAAGAAAAGAAGAAGAAGAAAAAAAAAAAGACCCACAAAAATTATATAAATAATTGGATAGATTTATTGTTATATTAAGTAGCTGAAGGAACAACAATAATAATAATAGGAAGAGTTGTAGAACTTATTTATGATTTGAGGTTTATGATTTACAAATAACCATTACGCATTTCCTTATAATTGGCTATAAAAAATAAGTATATAAGATTAATATCAACTGACGTATAACCTAATAATTTCAACTAACTTCATCTATGAATTTTCCTCTTTATATTTCTATATAAAGTGTAGGAATAGGTTAGCTGTTTGTATTTTTTTAATTATATTTATATACTACAGTTTCCCCTCCTTTTTTTAACACTCGTTAACGCAGTAGAATTTGTTAAGAGATTCAGCTATAGAGGTTCTTCTCCTCCTCAAAAAAGTGGGGCCTTAAACTGTATCCTCTTAGCGTGAGGCCCTATACATAAATCTAGTCCCTGTAATACAGTTTATGTTTATACATTTTTGTATTGTTAATCTTATTAATGTCCTTCTCTACACATTTAAATGCAACTTAGCCGAATTTTATACTTATTATGGTCATAATTTATATGAGTATATACTATGACAGGCCCTTCCTCTCTACAAAAACGTAAGGCTTACTTTATATGTAAATCTGGTTCACATTTTTGTTAGTAAATATAGTTTCTTCTCTACATATTTTAATATAACTTAATACAGTAATAATAGACGAATTTATACTTGTTACGGCCCTAAATTATAGTATATAAGAGGCCCTTCCTATCTACAAACGTACGAGGACATAAACTGTATCCTGGTAGAGAGTGAGGCCCTACATTGTTAATACATTGTTTAATACGTTACCTTTTTAAGTTTCATTTTATTTAACGTTTTTAATTATATCTTTCTTATTATTTAAAAGAAAAAAAAAAAACGTTGTGTTAAATTTATTTCTTTTTCTATTTCTTAACGTTTTGTAACCACTAAACAAAATTAGCCCGAAGGGAAATTTTCACTAGTTTACCAAGAAATCGTTTCGTGTCTCACAACATCGTTCCCAAATCATTGGTCATCTACGTTCACGTGATACACCCAACATCCTTATATGGCAAGAAGAGATGCCTGAGATCAATCGATAAGAGACCGTCTTGCCCTCCTGTGACGTAACTTTTGTCTTTAGTTGTTAAACGACGAACGTGTGTAATGTTAAAAATATATATACGTAAAAATAATTGTCGTACGGCCATAAAATAATGTATTATTATAAAAAGAAGGTGTTTCAATAACTCAAATAATGTTATAGAATGGTAAAGTTTGCAGATGTTTCTAAGTAAATAGACGAATTGATGTGTCTGATGCACGTTCTCAACGTTATCCCCTCGTTTGCGTGTGTGTGTGAATGAAAGCAGAAAAATAATAATTTATGAAAAAAGTAGATAAATTTGGGCGTAGTCCACTTGTTGTATTGCATCATATGCCCTTGAATATTTCACAAGATAAGTTTTTTTTTTCTCGTGTTTTATTAATTATTTATAATTTATATACTATAATACATATCATTCTCTTTATTAAGCTACTTTTTAATATAGAACGGTAACAGGATCCATTCGAAAACACAAGTTTTCTACGTTGTAAAACACACGAAAGATATATATAAAAATATAAACCCGTTTTCTAGGAAACAGATCTAAAAACTAATAGATTCGATGTATCCATCATACTAATATGTAATCAGCAAGGTAAAATTCCATCTTAAACACTCGAAGGCATAGTTTATAGGGGGCAAAATCGAGCCATTAAAGTTGATCAATCAATCAAAATCTCAACACGTGGATAGGCCACAAACGATCTTCTAGTTTAATTTATGGCTTAGTTTTAGGTAAAATATGAACAATTATAAATCTCCATCGGTTATGGGACTTAAAATATTTATATTTATAAGTTAAAAATGATGGTTTTTGAATTAGTAAATTAGGAGAATCGTATTGATCGATCTCTCCGGTGTCAGTTGGCAACGATTCTTTTTCTCTCTCCTACAAAATTGTCAACAACTAATTGAGTATTCACGGGATCTCTTCGTCTCTCTCTCTTAATTCATTTGTTACGAGAGAATCTCCAAAAAAAACCTTGACCCCGTGTCCTTTCTTTTATTAACAACCTTGATTTGACACATTCAATGTCCTTCGCCATTTCCGTTCGAGTTACGCAATCGATTTTTGTATTTTTACTCGAAATAACGTATTTAAAGCGACAAAAAAACATTTTTCTATTACTTAAAATTGAATTTTTTCTTTAAAAAAATCGTATTTTTTTTAAAACACATAAAACGTGTACACGTGTATGTAAACGTGTGTAACAACGCGCTCTTTTTTACGTCACTAATTCGCGTTTTAAGAGAATTTTTAAGTTTAATTTTAATTAAATTTAAACTTTATTTAGGAATTTTAATTACTTTTTATTTATTTCGGAATTTTTCGAATGTTTTTTTTAACATGAGACTTAATATATGTTACGTTTCCGCCCATTCGCCCGATTGGTCGAAACTGAGCGAGAACAGCCAATAAGACGGCGATTAGCATATTTTTTAAAAAAATATTTAAATGGGTGCGATTATAGGTTAATTTATAAAATAATTAAGGTAATGAAAGTAAATATTTCTTATAATTTAACATAAGAAGCACGTGATTTGCATAGAAACTTTAATTTCGTTTCCATTTAAAAAATATATATATTTACGCCCTTGTTTTTAAAAAGAGACTTTCACGAACCTCCTTTATCAGATCGAAAATGGAAGTTAAAGAAGGTGAATTTTGTAACCTTTTTCGGTTGAGTAAAATCATTATAAGAAGGAAAGAAGGAGAAGAATAACCCGAGGCAGAAGGGGGAAATGTATACTCCACCCTAATCTCGGTAGGGAGAAGATACCCTAAGGCTAGGTGAACACAAGAGAAAATAATCAGTGAGCAGTTTTCAAACAATAATTCGTTATCTGAGAATATTTTGGCATTGAAGTGATTCATAATTAATGGACGTACACGTTGCAAAATTCGAGGAAAATGTGCCTACTTACACGAATTCGTTAGCTATTTTCCTATATGATGTCTCATGTTTTTTTCTTTTGTGTGTGTGTGTTAAGAGTGTGCGATTAAATAAAACACCACCAACACCACTCGTACATAAAGTATCCGCTTTATTCTAGCCATAAAAATAAAAATAAAATAATTATATATACACATATAAATGGAGAAAAAAGTAATTGGTAAGAACATATATATATATATATATATATATATATATATATCAGTGCGGGTACCTACCTCACGAACCTGATGACGTCAGAAAGGTAGTTGTATAGATATAGTCATGTGACCGCGATCTAATGCACTTTTCGTACGTTGGGAATAATTTCACATAAAATTCGGCGTAAACAATGTAAAAAATAATTGTATTTTTTTGATGTCAAGATGTGAGGATGGCTTTCGACACTGGTCACAACACACAACTAGTCGAACAAAGTGGATGGGAAGTTACAACCGCCATTACTTCACCTGGAGGCTTCTTTACCTGGCGCAGAGTGTGGGATGGACCTTGTGTAGAGAGACGCATCCAGTGACTGGCGTTGTTTAACCGACGATTACTAGACAGAGAAAGGCTACGACGTTCTATAAAGTAGTAGCTTTCCGGCCTACTTATACGTTGGCCAGTTTCCGTACTGAAACAGGTTTGTGAAAGTCAACCGGCTAGAACAGTTCTCCACACCAGCTGACAATGGAGGTCGAAAAGACAGGTTTGTCAAGTTTAGCTGGTTCCACAACTAAACCTCCTAGCCAGGACGTCGGAAAGCCGAAGACTGGATGTAGCAGTTCTACCAGCACCGGACCTGATGACACTACCAGGTATGTCAAAATTTCTCGTGTTACCGGTGTGTCTTTTCTCGACTTCGTACTACACGTGCGATGGCATGTAACGTGTGTGAGGATCCTACCGAACACCTGTGGATAACAAAATGGCGGACCCGGGCACCTGTCGAAGAACATAGCTTTGATTTTTGGATGCCACCAACCACATGTTTTCTATCACAAATCAGATATTAAGGAGATGATAACCCTCTACCATCCAACAATATCCATAAAAGTTATCATACAAGTAGGACCATATTTTTAAATAAATATTAACAGGAATTTTCTAAATATATATATATAGATATATACTTTTTTTTTTATCTTGTAAGAACAATATTGATAATCCGTTTAGATTACCCGTTAATTTTTCTAGTATTTAAATATAAAAAATCCAAAGTAATCGGCGACGGTATTGTTCGATGACAATTTATGCTTGGTACGAACATTGTTTATTTATGTTTGATTGGTTTTTTCTCACCAACATTGATCAGTCGAGTGGAACATTCCCAGGAAACGTTTCTTTCTCGGATAGGCAATGAGAATATTTATAAGTGATTATGTTCTTGCCAACTAGTTCTGCCAAGCACCAGAATGTCGTAAAAATCAAACATATGGACAGATAATTCCACTCTATTTTCTATTATTCTATATAAAAAAATTCGGTACGGTGTCGAATTTTAAATATTTTAAACACATTTAACTCGAGATGATGATGATTTTATCGTGCTTTTTCTCCGCAAAAATGTCGCCTATTGTAGAATAAGACAATGAGTTTGCATGGTCAAATCGATTTTTCTTTGTCTTTTAACGAGATAAACTATTTAATTCCCATAAACAATTTAATATAATCCTTTGTTTATTACTTGGAGGATGTAATTTTACTTTCGGTTTTCAAATTCGTTAATAAAAATTGCAATATATTTTCGTAGTAATTTAACCGCTGCCGATCGATATTCCGAATACTTTTCAAACTGTCTCAAGGTTAATATTATGGCTGGCGGCATTTTTAAGGCAATTATATTGTTTAAAAAATTATTTTCGAGTTACATTAAATATGTAAATTATAAGTATATATTTTTTTTAAATCAGATTTCTCGAGCGCGTTGTGTGGCATTCTACACAGATTAACTCGCTCTACCTAAAAAAAAAAAAGAGGATATCCAACAATACGCTGTATACATATATATAGGGCTATATTACATACTGTAATGTTATCACCACGTCTGCTGTGTGGTTTGGGGAGGAACCGATCACGTTTTTTCGTTTTCTAGTCTTCGGTTTGACCCGGGGTTCAGTAAGGTTTGCCACGAAATTCGCCGAACATTTTTAGAATGGTCGAAATAATTTTTTCTGTCGTGAAATGTCACCGTCCATCGATTTATTGACAGGATGGATCGTTGACCCTCTCCATGTCACGTCCCGTGTTGTTGTTCTGCACGCAGATTTTACTTTGGTCGAACTAATTGAAGAAGGGAAAAATCATTTTTTTTACTTTTACTAATACATTCGACTAATATCATAATTAAACACCGGCTTTAGGTTATTTTTAATAAAGAATTTTAAATCGGGTTTCACACAAAAACAGGAAAGGTTTCTAGCCTTAGTTTTATCAATTTTTAATGTATTTTTTTTTTAAGTGTCTAAAAATAGTTCTTATTATTATTTATATTTAATTTTTTAAACAATCGCTTCCATAATGTACGGAATTGAAGTAAGGTTAGCTTTGCAACCAGCTAGAATAATCTATTCTTTTGTGAACAGAAAACCGGTTTCGTGAATGAACTTTTTCTTCATCTTTGTGAGTTGTGACAAGACATTGTCCTTGAGAAAGTGAGTTCTGACAGTTTTCTTGAACAGATCAATGGACTTCCTCCACTCAGACCCCTTTACGTCCGTCTCTTGTCTAATTAGAGGTCATAGAGTCACTATACAATTTACCAATAGAAAAACCTCTAATATAAACAAAAAAAAAAAAAACATTTTTGTTTAATCGAAAAATATCTTAAAAACATTAAGATTTATCTCATAATATTGACACGTTTTTATTTTATTTAATATAATTTGTTTTTTCTTCATCACGATCCAAAATTTTACTTCCTGATTTTGTGTTCTAAATTCCGTTTACAATAGCCATTCACGTCTGACGTTAATAAATGAAATGATTGTCTGAGATTCAATTGTATATCTAAATTCGTTGAATTTCCTTTATATTTTGGTGATTTAATTAATATATTTATGGTTTATTTTATACAAAGGAACGTATTTAGAAACCTCTATCTCTCTCTCTCTCCCTCTTCACATAAACACACAGATATATATAACTTTATATATAGGAATTTAATCGTTTCTTAACTGCAGATAATCACGAAAAAATATAAAATTAAACTCTATTTATATTTCCTTAATTATAATAACAATAATATATTGTAAACATTATTTCATATTTTCATAAATAACGATTTTTCTTTCTACTTTGTCATCGATTCGACGATGACAAGTAAGAATTTTTCTGCTGATAAAAAACGAGTCGTTTGAATCTTTAATTTTAACTTTTTTAAATGTTTTAAAAAAGTTTTTAAGGTTTTAGATGAGAAAATTGTTTTAGTTTAGTGTAAAATTCGTACTTTTTTTTTTAACGCTGTTTTCATTAGTGTTGATTATGCGTGAATTTTCTTCTTTTTTTTCTTTTTTTAAGGGATTTTTAGGGGTGAAATCGTAGGGGAAAAGCAGAAATAAGTGATTTTTAAGTTATTTTTGACGTTTTAGGCAAGAAAATTGCGTTTTAAAAGTGTTTTGAAGGCTGTAAAAGTGGTCAAATGGAACATATGTAACAGTGATTTAGTTAAGTTTTACACGAATAAAGCGTAACAAAAAAATTTAATTTCGAAGATAATTAATTGGTATGGATGTAGTTGAATAGACGAAGGATTGTATCGACGACATCAGAGAGAGAAAGAGAGAGAGAGAGAGAGAGAAAAAAAAAGAAATGGTTTCTTTCACTCGAATAAGAGCCAGAGTCAAAGAGAGACCGCCCTCAAATTTGATGATGTCAGAAGCAAATCTGGNGCCTACTTGTTGTAGGCCTACCTACCCACTTTGAATTGTTTGAATTGTTTTACTCCGCGAGTAAATAATGTCCGAAGTTAGATTTAAAAACGTATATATATAATTTTTATTCTATTATTTTTATTATTTTTTACTCCTTAAACTTAGTCATTAAGTCAGAACATAAGGCGCCTTAATTATACACATCTATGGACATAAAACGAGTGAATTTTTACTAGTAGATAATTAAAATAACAACGTTTCCACCCGTGATTAAAATTCATCGAACGTCTTTCGATCTTCGACTTATTTGGATCCACAAAAAAAAAAAAAAAAACACGAGCGCTCACATATACATAACACAGTCGAACGGGTTGAATGACCTTCGAAAAGCTATAGATTTTATTTATTTTTTCTACCTATCAGAAAGTTTCTTTTATAGTTTCAGGAAAAATCTAGAGTCTAATTCGTTGGCTAAAAAGATTATATCATCTTTGTCGAGTGTCTTATTAAGGCTACGTCACACCAATTACACGAGTTACTTTTTATAGACGTAACGAAATGCAAGAGTAATTTATTTCTATAAATATACCCTTTTTTTTCACTTAGTAATTGTCATATTTTGTATTTTTAGTTTTATATGTATAGATTACTTTATAATTTCCGGCAATTTAAAAAAAAAAAAAAAAAGGTTTTATTGTATAAACCGCATTTTAATGCTACATTTGATAAGAGTTAATAAAGCGCGGATTTGCATTCTTTTTTCTCTTAATTTTTAAGGGATTTTTAGGGAGAAAATGATAGGGAAAGTAAAAAATAAATGTTTTAAAAAAGTTTTTAAGGTTTTAGATGAGAAAATTGTTTTAGTTTAGTGTAAAATTCGTACTTTTTTTTTTAACGCTGTTTTCATTAGTGTTGATTATGCGTGAATTTTCTTCTTTTTTTTCTTTTTTTAAGGGATTTTTAGGGGTGAAATCGTAGGGGAAAAGCAGAAATAAGTGATTTTTAAGTTATTTTTGACGTTTTAGGCAAGAAAATTGCGTTTTAAAAGTGTTTTGAAGGCTGTAAAAGTGGTCAAATGGAACATATGTAACAGTGATTTAGTTAAGTTTTACACGAATAAAGCGTAACAAAAAAATTTAATTTCGAAGATAATTAATTGGTATGGATGTAGTTGAATAGACGAAGGATTGTATCGACGACATCAGAGAGAGAAAGAGAGAGAGAGAGAGAGAGAAAAAAAAAGAAATGGTTTCTTTCACTCGAATAAGAGCCAGAGCCAGAGTCAAAGAGAGACCGCCCTCAAATTTGATGATGTCAGAAGCAAATCTGGTGACGTGAACGTAGATAAGAACGAAGACACCGAAAGGTAAACGACCCCTAGCGGTCAGGTCGTCTTATATATACGTCACACAAACCTCGACACCAGGTCGTCATAAATTACAGAGTTGTTTTGCTTCATTAACTCGGCGACCAATAGGCAAAGTCCAGCCCACGAACTTCTCTCCCGTTGGACGAAAGACGCGCACGTGATACTGAATGGCAGGTGGGTGTGGCCGAAGATAAGCCAGTCTAGAAAGATTTCTCCGCCAATCTTTAAAAAAAATGTTTGTTTTTTATTTTTTGAAAGAAAGAAAAAAAATATTATTTTAAAACTTTTCTATTCGACTTTTAACTGTTTATAAATGCGTTTTAATTCGTAATAATTCCCGACGGAATGGAATAATTAATTTAAAATAACGAACGATTATGAAAATCTTCCATTAATTTATAGTGATAAATCGACGGTAGACTCGGTCGTAAACCGGACAGAACTGTGCCCGAGATTTAATATTATTTAATTGGAAGCTGGTTTAAGTATGAAGAAAATATAGAATCGTTTTAAGAATTAGAAAATATTTATTTAAAAAAAAATGTTAGAAAGAATAAACAAATGCATCGCTATTCTCAGTCGTTAGAGTGCGCTTTGCTGTCATATTTCAATGGATGCGCCCATCATCGTTTGGATTTTTCAATGGATGAGGCCATCAACATTTTTCTGTAAGTAATTTAATATGCTTCGATTTGAAAAAATAATAAGAAATTAATAATAATAATGAGTGTTTAGGGCTTTAAAAAATAATTAGAAATATTTTACTGAAAGATTTTTCTACATTTAACTGTTTGATCAAACAGTTGTATTGATCAAACAATTTTATTGATCAAAATGAGTCCCCGCCATTTTGATCAATAAATTCTTTTCTACATTTTATTGATCAAAATGACGGGGCGTCATTTATATAAAATTCATTATAATCTATAGCTTCTATCACGCATTATTTAATACAATACAACGTTAGGATCGTTGCTACTAGTCTATGTCCTCGTATTATTATATATTTTTGCGCATATCTTAAGTCTAACGCGTGAGGCCCTAGGCTAACGTAGACGTGCGATGTCCTTTTATAAAGATTTGTATAATCTAAAGCCATACTTGATGTTATCCAAGATCTAGAATTCTGATTAGTACCGGAGTAAGAGCAAGAAAGGCATACTAGGCCTCTTTTTGGGGGGGTATAAATTTACGTAATCTAGTCTTAAGATACTTGATATCGTACGAAATGAGATTTCCGAGAAATAGACGAAGAAATATTATCTTGGTGTTTGAGGCCTCCGAGAAGCGCGAGGCCCTAGGCAAAAGTTTAAATTGACCGTGCCTAAAACCGCTACAATTTCCGATGCGTAATTTAAGGTTAAAATCCTTTTTAATAGCCGTAAATGCCATTGTCATTGGAACGATGTCAGGTGAATAAACATATTTACCAGTCGCAAATGGTTTGTCTGCTGCAATGTTTGATTGTTTGAATGAAGTTGTTCCGCAATTAGATACTTTATTGTTTACTTTAGTAGAAAAATCTGCTTAGAATTAATTAAAAATTACCTTTTTTTTTTTTTTCTTTCTTTTACTATAAATATTTATCTCCAACACTTTGTAAATCATGTACTGTACTTAGAATTTTGTGTTATATGAGAAAATATGGCACAGAATTAAAAATTACTTCAAGGAGTGTTGTTAAGGATGTTTCAATTGGTTTTCCATCAAGAGCTTTACTTATTTTTTTCTGTTTTTTTAATCTTTTAAGGGGACTCCGAATTGGTTAATTAAGTTTCTGATGTGGGCAGGTAACCGATGTCACATCATCCATCAGTATAAATCATTATGCCAGTTTATACTCAGCCTCATCTAGATCGTAATACAAACATCTGTTCATAAAAAGAAGGAAAGAATATTCTAGAGATAAAAACGTCAACCGAACAATAACACCTACACATCTACTCGGTGATTTTTTAATGTCAAATTTAAAATCGAGCCAGCTATAAGCATTCTTTAAAGCAAAATTTCTATTTTCATGACAATTAAATAAGCCTTAGACCCATTTTTTTAACTTATATATATATATATACTTCAATTAGCGTTAGGCCTACTTGTTGTAGGCCTACCTACCCACTTTGAATTGTTTGAATTGTTTTACTCCGCGAGTAAATAATGTCCGAAGTTAGATTTAAAAACGTATTATTAAAACTGAATTAAAGAAAATGTGCAGAGAAAGCGGGGAGAACAATTATCAAGAGTACCCCAACGCTATTATTGCGGGCAATCTCAAGATATAATCATTTCTCTTATACGGGAGAGAATGCATTATGATGAATGACATACAAATGGACGTGAAAATAACGTTTTTATATATATATTAACGTTTCAGGAAAAAAGAAAAATATAACAATCGAACATTATTTCTCCCTCAACCCTTTTGTTTCGTTTTTTTTTTCTCTTCGTCTTTTAGCAAAGAGAAATGTCTGACTGAAGAGTTCGACCAATCGGACAAAGAAAAGCCTCAGCGTATGACTGATATGCCCGAAGGGGATGATGGTTGGAGGGCTTATTATGAACATCCATTAACAGCAGCAACTACCGCCATGTTGAATATCAACGGTGCAGGCGAAGAACAAAATCCAGGAATGGGGTTATTGTTTGAATATTATAAGTTGAATCCAATTGAAAAACAAGAAAAAGTAGCCCCATTACCTTCCATTTGGAGGTATAACAGCCTCACAAGGCTCTTTTATTATCAATACGAAATGATTATTCTGTAGACATAGCTCTAGTATTACGGAAAATTTTGATTTTTTTTTAAACACTGTGATTATTTTACTACACGCTTTAATGTATAAAAAATAACATATGTATTGTATTATATTATCCATTATATTTACATTAATCGTTTTTTTTTTATAGCACAGCTATTCCGTCAACTGCAACAAATACAATATCAGCAACGGTAGCACAAACCAGCGTGTCTGGAATTACTACATCCAGCCCAACTACAACAGAAAACACTCCTGTGTTGTATTTAAGAACTGAAACGGAAGATCAAAGCGAAAAGCAATCGTCTAAAGAAGAAAATACAGAAAATTCTCCAGAAATGAGAACTTCTCCTACAGCAAATAGTGAAGGAGGAGAAGAAACTGAAAACTCACCTATTACAATAATAGTTAAACAGGAACCAATATTGGAATCCAATCCAACGTCGCCAAATCGAACAGAAATAAAATCAGAGCCATTCCTTAATTCTCCCTCTCAAACACCAATAGATTTAGTGACAAGTCCTCTAGCACCCACTGCTGTGGCAGTCACAACTCCCACTTCGACACCGAATATTTCGGAAGAGGACGTAGCAAAATCGAGCGGGAACGTTATCTCGTTAGGTGCAGCTAGCACAAGTCAACCGTACACTCAAGTTTTTGCAAACGTTACTTCGTCCCAACCCGCTTACGAAACTTTAGGATTGGCGCAATATAGTGTTTTGACAAACGCAGTAGCAATATCTGCAAGCCCACCTCCTCAATACGGTAATCAAAATTCTACTTCTTCGAGAACTGTTTATGCAGTGACAACAGGTGATTATTATCGAGATTATTATCAGACCGATCAATATCAGGCAGTTCGGCAACAACTCGGTTCTTACGCCGAGAATAATGAACTAGTTGATCGTTACATTCGACAAAATGGTACCTATAAAACGTCACTGCACGGATTAACTGTCGATCTGCCATCTCCTGATAGTGGTATCGGTGATACCACCATCACGCCGAGAGATAGTTTGCCACAAGTAGGTCTAATTTCTCTTCCATTTACTTAAACATATGAAAAAAAAACAAGGTAATTCGATAACTATCGCTTTCTTCTGCAGATTTTCGATTACTCTGATCTCTCACAGACTTCAGCTTTACTTCAATCTACAGACCAACAGACCACAAGTCGACCTTCTAGTTCTCAATCGCAGTCTTCCAGAAGGTCTTGGCACGATTATGGAAGAAATTCAGAATCAGACAAAGTCCAGATACCCAAACTGTAATTATCATAGATCATTTATTTTCTATCAGATTTTTTTTTTCTTTATTGCTATAAGCCAGTGCGTCATTAACCTTAACGAGCAACGCCTATTTGACGTCAATTATATTACTTATAATTATCTAAAGAGTAATAATATATATAATTTTTTATTTTTTATATATTTTATAGCCATTCTGAATTTGGCTTCCGATATTATTTAGAAGCACCAATTTCTACAAGTCAAAGAAGAGAAGATGATCGAATTACTTACATAAATAAAGGTAATTCTTTAAGCACCTGTTGTGTATAAATGTATATTCGAAACTACAAATATATATATATATATATATAAACAGGTCAGTTCTATGGTATCACTTTGGAATATGTACCTGATCCAGAGAGACCTGTAGGATTGAAAAGCACGACAGTAAAGGTAAAAACAATATATAAAATATATTTCCTTAAGAATTTAAATATGGAAATTCACTATTTAAAAAACAAATATTTACACGTATATAAAAAACAAAATTTGAAACCGGTTTGAAATAAAATTTACAGATTTTTTAAAATATATATAAATGAATTTAAATAAGAATTTATAGTTATAATATATTAAAAATTATATATTGTGAATTTTACGTGGATTACAATGTAACTAACGATCAGTTTGGAGGTCCTCAAGCCACCACATGGCCTTTTGTGGCTTCTAATAAAGACTATAACAATGTAAAAGTTTAGTTTTATTATCATAAAAGTATGTATTATAACTTTGTTTTTTCAATAAGACTTATATATAAATTGTGTTTATATACATTTTTGGTGCATGAGTTTATACCCTTATGCAACCTGCTACACTTAAGAGATCCTTATGAATTGGCATGTGGCTGGCCTTCCTATGGTCTAGTTAGTTAATGACATTAGTTAACAATGTGATCCATACAAAATTAAGGCACTATTTTGTATATAATAAAGCATTAAAATTATATTTCAGTCGATGGTAATGTTGATTTTTCGTGAAGAGAAGTCAGCAGAAGAAGAACTTAAAGCCTGGCAGTTTTGGCATAGCCGACAACATAGTGTCAAACAAAGGATCCTAGATGCAGGTTATTATATTATATAGTGCTATTTAACACTTTTATAAAGAAAGCGGTCCTTTTTTAACACATACTCTCTATTTTTATTGCTTCCATTAAAACTTTAAAGAGGTGAGTTAGTTGAAATTACAGCAAACTGAATTAATTTTATGTATCTGATGCTTCATAAAGATTCATTTTATAGATACGAAAAATAGTTCGGGTATCGTTGGCCAAATTGAAGAAATTACTCATAACGCAATCGCATTTTTTTGGAATCCTTTAGAAGGTCCTGCTAAGGTAAAATATATTCATTTGGTACAATACTTTGCGAATATTAAACTTCAAAATTAATGTTTACGTCTGTTTTCAGATTAATGTTGCTGTCCAATGTTTAAGCACAGATTTCAGCAATCAGAAGGGTGTGAAGGTAAGTGTTTTTATTAATGTATTTCTCACAATTAATGGGTTTTTAGGAGTTAAAATTTAAGTCGACACATTGAAGAATCTCGGTGAAATGTTTGACAATACTTCTATTGTTAGTTTAGCACTTTACCAATCATACGGATCAGGAGTGGATTGAATTCTTGAGATTTTGGAACGTTGTTTTCTGTTGATTTTCGCTCACTTTAGCCAACAATGCTCTTGATTTGCGAAAATAGAGAGAAATTTTATTATGTAAATATATTATTATTTCAGTCAACTTTAGTGAAAATTGAAAGCTTCTGCTTCATAATTCTAGATATTAGATTTTTACATTAAAACATAACCATTAATGCAAAAAAAATATAACGATAGAAACTTCAAAAACAAGAAGAAAAAAAGTTAATACAACGCTAGTATATTTATAGTTTTTAGTTTATCTGTTTACAGGGGGGAGGAAAGTCATTTTGTCGACACGTGGAAGGGGACCTGTGTCTCTTGGCATAACGAACAGGGTCAGCGACCCTTCCCGTAGGCCACGTGACATTTGCACGTGCAGGAATGTCCTGCCCTCCTTCATCTAGTCGCCTTCTGCCGATACCTCCCTCTGTCACAGACGAAGGGGAAAATGCATTAAAGTAAGAGCCCTTCAGGGCTCTTTCCTCTCCTCATCCAAACAGTTCTGATGAATTGTTTTCTTATCTTTAGGGACTCCCTCTTCATCTTCAAATCGACACAGTAGATGATTACAGAGAAGAAAGTCTACCTATTCATCGGGGATATTGTCAAATCAAAGTATTCTGTGATAAGGTATGACTATAAATAAATAAAAAAAAATCGTTCATCATTAAATCTACATCTATTGATTTTTTATGACTTAAAAGCAAATTCTTGCAGATTTTTTATTCTGTTTTTACTTAATTTATTCGGTCATTTTAACCGCGATAACCGAACGTGACGTTTGTGTCACGTTTATATCACGATCCAATTGGATCGTGACTTTCACCCGTGATAATGAGTTATTTTCTCAAGAAAGAATTGTTTAGAATTCAGTAATTAGGAGGCGTCCAAAAAATGAAATCGGGATAATCACGAATCGAGAGAAAAGTGAAATTTTTCGAAAGAAAAATTGCACTTTCTCTCTCTCTCTCCCTCGATGATATTTATAACGCACAGTTTATGAACAATTTATTGTTAGATACAATTTGTTTCAAGTCTTTCAAAGAATATAGCTGTAGATTCACTTATATATATAATAAATTTTCTTATTAAAGGGAGCTGAAAGGAAAACTCGTGACGAAGAAAGACGAGCGGCTAAAAGAAAAATGACTGCTAGTGGAAGTAAGGACAGAAAGCAATAAATTACTACCTTAGAAAAAGAAATACCTTTTCGGACAGTTTAATAATTGAATTATAATTAAATACTTTTCAGGCAGTCGAAAGAAGATCGAAGAAATGTATCATCCACCCTGCGATCGTTCAGAATTCTACTCTATGAGCGATCTTCTCAAACCACCGTTGTTGTTCACACCTAGCGAAGATCTGGATAAAGTGGGGATTATTAAAGTATATTGTGGTCTATTAAATTCCACGCGATCAAATAAAATCTTCTCTTATGCTTTTTTTTTTTTTAAACACCTTTACAGGTTCATACCGTGGAGACGAACTTCTATTCAACTCAGTCAGCAGTTACAGAAGAAGCACCCGCAGCCATGTTAGTCAATTAACATTTTTATATTCGGAAATTTTAATTAAATATGTCGTTAGTAATTATATATTTTGTATGCAGAATTGATAGACGCGATGTCTCGGACACAAGACAATCGAACGAAGTTACTTTTCCAATACCAATTAAGAGAGTGAAGATGTATCCTACAGACAGAGGTTAGTCAACTTTACATAAAAATAGATTACTACTGATGAATTATATTGACTAAAATAATAATTTTAAGAATTTATTCTAATTAGATATTACCTATGACTTTAAAACTAATAAATTATTATCTTTATAGCATCGTTAACAATAATATAAATTGATTTTTCTTAAGTGTAATCTATGGTACCTCGTTAGTGCTATATGAAATTAATGACAATATCCAAACGTGTATAATAACTTGTATTATATTGACAGTATTGCTATACGCAAGAAGAGAAAATGAAGATATTTATCATCCTCTTCATTTAGTCCCTCCCAATTTGGCGGGTCTAGCAACAGCTGTAAGTAATTTGGCTTTTTTTTTTTTCCTCTACAGAAAATATTAAAATTCAAATTTAAACTAATGATACATGAATGTAATTATTGTAAAATTTTAAAACAGATCGAAAATAAATATCTCATCAGTGCAAAAAATATTAGAAACATATACAAGAGATGCAAAAAAGGGTAAGATTATTCTTAACGATTTTTATGCAAATTATATTAAAGACATATTTTAAAAATTAAAATTAAATCTTTAATCAGAATTACGGTTCAAATGGATGATGAAATCATCAAGCATTATTTCAACGAGGACACGTTTTTAATCGAAGTATCGAAAATTGACGATTGCTATGACATCACTTTAGTGGAACTTTAGAGGGAGAAACGCAAAAAAAAAACAAAAACAAAAAAAAAATTTCCCTATCGGTGGTTAAACATTATTATTTTTAATGTATATAGTTTTTAATAAGTGTTTTTGCGAAACGAAAACAAAATTCGGGAACTTGATGTTTATAATTTAAGAACAGAACATAAAAAGCCCACAAATAAATAAATAAAAAAGAGGAAAAATTAGAAAGAAAAGAAGAAGAAGAAGAAGAAAAAAAAACATACAACACTCAACAGTTCCTCTACAAAAAACGGAACTAGGACTGGTCACGAAGCAAATACTCTTAATTCCTCGACAAGTTTTTTTTTTTAAGTTTTTGGTGTTTGTCTTTTGTCATAATGTCTTATTTTTACACCTTTAACGAAATACTTTTTTTAAAAAATCATTTATATAAATAAAAAAATGTTTTTTTTTTAAATATAAAAAGAATGCTAGTTTATCTAGTCTAAAAAATGGAGGCTTTTGTGTGTAAAAAACAAAAAAAAAACTAACTAAAATACCGACAAAGTATTCTTCCGATACTTAAAAGAAAAACTATAATCATGACTTATCGATTATCAAAAAAAAAAAAACTCGCCTCGAAAATATCTTATAATAAATACCCAGCTATTGTATTTTATTCTTTCCAAGACCATCTAACTTTTGTATTTTCTTAACTATCCTTTAATATTTTTTAAAAAATTCGTGCCGTTAGTTATTCGTTTTATATATTGTTATATATTTTGTATGCCAAAACGTTAATGAGTTTGGTGGAAGTTTGTAATAATAAAAAAAAATCAATTGTTCATTTTTAATCCGTGTTCTTGTCAATTCTAACAAAATAACTTGCGCGTGTATATGTGTTTGTCTGTCCGTTTGAGGCTAACTGTTTAGTTTGTGGATAAGGTCCATTACCCTAGATTACGAGCAAATTATAATTTAGTGAAGTGTAAATGTTTTGGGATCTATTTTGAGGATTGACACCATCTCTGGTTTGGAAATGGGAACTTCCCTTTCCTGATGGGACTCGTTTGACTACTTTATGAAAACTGGAGGCACTTTTTCTCCAGACTCAATTATCATAATTACTCGCCATTAATCTCAATAAGATGATTATCCTCCCCGACGTACTTTTCCTATTATGTATGCACAGATACAAAATTATAAGGTAGATGATTTTTTTTATGTATCAAAATCAAAACTTACTTTCTTTTTTATGTAGTTTTTTTTATTATTATTAAAAAGAAAAATTTATACGGCATTCGTGGTATGTAAGAGTAAAAACTGAAGTTTGTAATACAGTATTTATAAACGGTAATTCTGATTATATATAAAATTCTAGTAAGTAAATTTAGTTAAATTTTACAATATCTTCGTAAAAAATTACATTACTTTGGATTAAAGGTGTATTATCCACACGTTTCTGAGCTTAAAGTTGGAATACTTCTCGAATTTAGGGTATACTCTTTCATTCTTCAAGCCTGTATGTAATAAAAACTTTGCAGTGTTTCCTGTTTAATAGATTAAAATAATTTATTAGAGTAATAAAACGTTAAAAACAATATTTAATTCCAATTATTATCGAATTTTCTCTGAAAAACCCTATTTTAAATGTGTGGGTGCGCCTTAAAATCGAAGTAAGACAGGTATATAAAGACCTGAAGTACCGTTCTATGTTAGTTTTTGTTTTTTTCTATGAAATTCGTGCGAAATCGCTAAAATTAAAACCGGATATATTAATCTGTAAAAAAATTTTATTATTCTCGGAATATTTTAAAAGGGTTTGTTATTATTTCTTGGAGAATAAACACACGAAAAGTTGGATTTTCCGCAGTAATCGGAGGCGGTCATCAACGCTATTGGAGGATGAGAAAAGAAAATGCGGGCATTTTGGGTGGTGTGAAAGATCTCGCATTGTCACGGAAATATTTAAATGACAAAAGTGGGTGGGACCGACGTTCTTAAAACAGTTTTACGTTGTAACAAATAGGTCAGTGACGTCACCGTCACGTGAAGTGGAAGAAATTAGAATAAAGATAAGATATATACCCTGAATCATGAGACTAAAATCCTATACGGAATACGAGAATCGACAAGATCTAACATGGAAATAATAAACAAAACAGACACGAAGTCTTCAAGACATAAAATTTATATGATGCCTTATATCTTACATTATCCTACATTGCTGATTTTATACAGATAACACACACTTCATTTTACCTTGGTCTTTTAAAATTGTTGCTTTTGATTAATCGATCGACTTTCATTTTGATTTTTAACTATAATCTACATGTATTTAATTATATATAAATTGTAATTTCTGAAGCTATTTTTTTTTTTTTGTGTTTAAACTTATAAAAGCGCGCATATTATAACTTAAAGAATTGTATAACTTTAAAAATACATTATTATTTTTTTAACTGTAAATTACAAGGGAAAATCAGATATTACATACCCATGTGATTCAATATCTATTCATAGAAGTAGAATTAAAGTATTTAGATCATCAGATTTGGTTGGATAATTAACATATATAAAGTATATATATATATAAAAAATTTTCACTTTTAAAAATTTATAGGATTTTTTTAAGTTATTGTATTCGTTTGAAGATATTAAATACAATGAGAACAGGATATATAATTATCTTTATGTATTGTGCAATTCATAATATGAAATCATAAGATAAGAATATCCTGTATGTCGTGGAAACCCCTTTTTTTTTCTTCTGCTTTTATAAAGAAAGTTTGTGATATATATACATGATACTGTTTATATCACATTTACATATAAACAATAGAAGTGTAATTACAAAACCAAATAAAATCGTACTTTCTTCTTTGCAAAGTGACTATAAAATGTAAATAAAAAATTGCTAATGCTTTCATTTGTTGTTTCCAAATGATAATATATGGTAAATGATTTATTTCTGTAACATAAATTAGCTTCTACATGATGATTTCCGGATGTTATTCATCAAACTTCAGTAAAAAGTATACAAGACATGAATTTTATGTTCTTACTTTGCATAAGAAAGTAATAATGTAACATAGTTCTATCTAAAACCGTATCTTGGACCTTAAATAATTCAATCAAGGAATCAGAAATTATACTTTGCATACATTTTCAGCATTATTTATTTTATCAATTTCTTCTATGTCATAAATTAGGGCTTAAAGTTGAGGAATAAAGAATCCTAAAAATGTTTTTAGAATATAATTTTGGTTCCTTGATTGATTTTTGTTTAATACCTAATTTATAATTCAAATTTAACACTTACCAATACATTTTTAAACCATTTGTTATATAAAAACCATACCTTAAAATTTGAATAAGATGCCATTTTCGGTTAATTAAGGCCCTGAGCAAATTAATGGACTTCTTTCTTCGGCTTAAGGCCCCCTAGTCATGACCATTAAGAGAAGGCCACCATTTGTGTCTAACTGGCCTTGAGGTAATTCCAAACATTATATGGTGAAACCTCGATAAGTGGCCACTCTTAGAACCAACAATTTTATGACTAGTTATCTTAGGAGTTATGGCTTAAATGAATTGAATAAGATTGTTAGCTGTAGGCTATAAAACATGAAACCTGTGAATATGCTTGTGTTTATTCTTTTATTATCAAAACATGTACTTATTAGAATAAATTTTATTATTCTAATAAATGCTTACTTGTCACAATTAGTGATTAATGGTTGCTGAAAAAAGTGGCTAGATGGCAATAGTTGCAAGTCCAAGAACATTGTCACAAGCATAAATTTTGCATCAAGTGATTTATATGATAAAAAATTAAAAAAAAATCTTGACATTACTATGAGATCAATAACTTCATTAACACTTAAGAAACTATGACATAGTCATACTAATTCATATTTAATATCTTGTAAAATGTATCCCTATAAATAAATGTTTTTCCAATGAAATGGTGAAGTTTTTACCCTTTTTATATATCAAATTTATGTAAAATAGGCCCAGTTTTTATTAAATTTTTATATTATTTCAGTTGAACAAGTTAAAACATAGGATTTAACACTAAGAGGAGCCTTACTTCTTCCTCCCAAAAAATTAATATGGATTGTTCATTATTATTTGGAGGAGGAAGAAGGGCCTCCTGTATTGGTAGCATAGGGCCATGTATTTAGAAACCTGACCTCAATTAAAAGATATTTAATCTATTAAATGGGTTATGCTAAGCTGAAGATATTTCTATCTTCTGCTTAGCATAACCCATTTAATAGATTGGAATAATGCAGACATAAATAAAAAAAGTTTCTTCTCAATTATTTGGTTTATTTATCAGTATGGTTCCAAGTTTTGTGAACTTTTATAATGGATGAAATAAAAAATTAGTTAATTTTCATTAAAACAATTAAGTTTTCTCCTTAAAATATTTAGAATTTTAAGAAGATTACTGTTAAACATACATCAGATTGAAAAGAAGTTTATTCAAATAAAGCAATGATGACTGACGATGGTGATGATATAATAAAAACAATCTGAAAAGGAAGAACGTAAATAGGACTATAAAAAAGATAAACAAATAGTCATTATTATAATGATTTGTCTTTCATTTTTAAATAGACACTATTTACATTTTTTGAAAATCAAAAACAAAAAAATATAGAAATTGGATATAAAATTTTCATTTATTAAAAATTTAATAGGTGCAAAAAATTTTTCTAAAATTTTATATCTCCAATTTTCTACATTTTTTAATATAGAAAAATAAATAATTTAAAAGCTATTAACAATCTATGTAAGAATTTCTTTTTCTTTTTTTTTATATTATATAATTAATTTATGTAGTATTTTTAGCAATAACAAACATTATAATTAATCACAGTTCGACAATTATTTTGAACCTGGTTTCAAACTTGCAAACACTTTATTGCCTCTAAGTTGCATGCATAGTTCGTGTAAGAAGCCAGTAATGTGGCCTTCTTTTTCTGTACGTTTATTTTCCAATATGACTACCACGGTCATGTAAGGGTCGACTTTAGCTAAGAAGTAAGTAGTCTGTACATTCTGAAAACAAAAAAGGTTTTGTTCTAAATTAGTATATTGGCCATTAATTGAATTTGTTAAGATTGATATAAAAATGGATCTCAAAGAGTGACTTACGAGCAATAAAAACTTACTTTGTCATAGAAACAGACGACGTCGTCAGCAATACGAGTGTCCCACGCTTTGTCGTTCATAATCATGACGACGCAAGGCCAGTGAGAATTTGGTTGTTCCAAAAACAAAAACAAAAAATAAATTATTATTAAAATCTGTTTTTAATTTTACAACATTAAAATTAAAGTCGATACTCACTATCGGATAACAGAGGACGGCAGGATAAGAATCTAATCCTTTTGGAGGTTCGTAATTTTTTGCAGGGTATTGATAACCATGGCCTTTATAAGATTCTAAATTAAGAGTGTTTAATACTAAAGCCACGCACAAAGCATCCACTCTCTTCTGAAAAGTAACAATCCTTCAAAAGGAAAAACAAAATTAATCAGAATATTACGATACAATAGCAATATTTTGAACTAATATAATGGATTTTTAACTGCTTCACAATAATTTTCTGCAAAGTCATTTAGTAGTTTATTAATTAAACTTTTAATCCAAATATTTAAAAAAAAACTGCAAAATTAGTATATTAATACTAATTACTCTTATTTGTTCAATTAACTCACTACTATATAAAAGCACTACTTATAACATCAGAACAAAAATATACAAGATGCTCTTATGTTAATAACATAAATTTACTACAATACAATATCTTTTATAAATTACAATTCCCCAATTACAGTAGAGTCTCTATGGTCCATCACTCACCAGTCTGATACATAAAATTCTCATCTTATCACTTGTCAACGTATGCAACAGAGAGAGATTGATGTACGTACATATATATCGTCAGTCACTAGTTGTTTGTTGCATGTGCAGTCGGCAAAACAGTCAGAATTGGGATTAATACGATAAAATAACCTGTAAACCAAGTGTTTTTTTTTTACCATACACTGTATCATACATACAAAATCCAGTAATTTGACACCTTCCAGTTCGATATACTGTATGTATATTATAGAAAGACACTACCATATTTCTAAAATAGTATGTCAGAAGCATGAAAAATTATAAATAAGAAACTTTGAAGATGATATTAATATACAGATTAATATGAACATTATATGCTGTGCACTGAATAATTTTCACTTAAAAAAAACTTTACTTAGAGATAAAAATCTGAAATTTACTATAATTAATTTATATTTTCTCAGATAAAAGTATATAAATATTTAGAGTATGTTAAAAATAATGAGGTTGCTTAAATGCATTTCAAATTACAAAATAATTAATAAGTTGTCTCTAAACTCATCAATAAATTTAAAATATTCAATGCTTATGAGAAAATTATTTATTTCTTATATGTGTACATATATAAATATTTCAAAAATTTAATATATTTATAAATTTGAATGCATATAAAACGAATTATTTTTTTCATTATTAATTAGTAATTTATCCATGTAACTTGCTTTGAATATTCTGTTTTTTCCAGCAACAATTAACATATAATATAGATAGATGATAGTGATAATTTGCAAATCAAAATATAAAACAAATGGTAATTTGTCATAAAAATTACCAAATTTTATAGCTATTATATTCTTATTAAAACTGAAATCTATAACTCTTTGTTATTCTTATCGTCATACTTTCTAGTTTTTTTTTGTTTTTATTGATTAATAAAATTCCTTGGGATTTATTAATTAGATTGATAACCTTGTATATAGTAGAAAAACTGGAACTATCAAGAATTATACAGTAGTATAAGATAATTATTTGGCAAATATTACGGATTGACTCGAGAAACAGATGGAAAGTAAATATAAATTTACTGCTACAGATAAAAAAAAAAAGGAGTTGGTTATAAAAACATGTGACACAAATTATTCTGCATTCTGTAAGACATTATGTGTACAATTAATAAGTAAAAAGTATTGTTTAATTTGTGTAAGACATGTTCAGAAATCTAAATTTATTCAAAAAGTCTGATTTATACCATCAAATTAACATACAGTAGACCCCCTATAACACTGTTGATAATTCCGTGTTATATGAATTCCATGTTGTA